TGGGATACAGAACAGGCAGATCGATGAAGTACACTGCTGAGGGGAGCAGCGGGCGGGTCAGGAGAGGTCTGCCTGGCCATGTGGATCTCCTCCGGGGCGGGCGGGAATCGAACTCATGAGGAGTGGTTTAAGCTTCTTTGTGTTGTGTTTTAACCCGCTGCGCTACCAGGGAGGGCCCTGGGTGCCTTATTTAAACATTTCCCCTGAAGCTTATGATAATCAGTTTATTAATATTACATTTTGCTAGTTACTTCTTACCTTAAAAAGCTTTATTGTTGCTTGTAAGTTTTAATAGCAGTTATGTACTTGACAGAAGAGTTGGGAAATACGGTCCTTCCTTGTATATATGTACATTTTGTTAAAAAAAAAAATGAGATTCCACCACGGATACGGTTTTATAACTTTCCCTCCTAATTACATTACATCAGCTTTAGTAGGTTGTTTTCTGCAAACCATTTTCATTGCCTACAGTATGAGTATTTTTGAGGACGAGTAATCCGGTATTAACTAATACCAACATTATAGTCTGTACTTTATTCAAGAGTTGATGGGTCCTTATTAAAATGAGGTGGTGGCTTTTAAGTCCATGATTAAACAGTTTGTAGGAAATTACTTGGAAAGGACAGCTGTTGTTTGTCTTTGCAGGCTTACTGCAGTATATTATACCTAAAGCCAAGAATGCAGATCATCTTACGTGGACAAAAAGTGAAAACACAGCTAGTTTCGAAGAGTCTTGCCTACATTGAACGTGATGTTTATCGACCAAAATTTTTAGTATCCTTTACTTTCCTTTTCTTGATGCCATGTAAAGATATTTCAAGTATGTCTACCTCCCCCTTTCTCCTTTTATCCCAATGTGGGTTCTAATCCTCTCTGCCTTTGTCCTTTTTAATGCATTTTTTGACTTAATAACTAACAAAATGGAAAGGATGGGTTGAAGGGTTGAGGTGGTATATTCAGAATTTTCCTTAACACTTAAAGACTAAAACGGTGAGAATTACTTTTGGATTCAACTGCAGAAATAAAGATCATTATGGGATAATGATGTATCACAAAAATAGACTCATCAAAGCTTATGAAAAAGTTGGATGTCAGTTAAGGGTAAGCTTTATTTATGAAAATGTATGTCTTTTATAAACATTAGTATAAAGTGTTGTTGGATCACATATGAAGCAGTTTCACTGTGCTTTTTGTCTAGTAACTTTTAAAAGCCAGTGATTTTGACGACACTGGTATGCACTTGACCATAAAATACTGTTTTCTCTTTTTGATCCTGAATATTCTGATGGGGGACAGAATATCTTACTTCTATTTCAGAGATGAGAACATTAGGATTAATAAGCTACATCACTTGCCTCTTGTTAGGTAACTTGCTGTTGTTACCGCCTGACTGTGAGTACGGGCCTCAGGCAGACACAGGCCCTGTGCTCTTGTGTTTGAATTTCCAGTCATTCCCTGCTGCAGTGAGGACGGCTCAAATCATCTTAAACAGTATTTGATGGTGATTTACTTTCTCCAGTTAATTCTTACATACATCTAACCTCCTCCCTAACGCGGTGTGTTCGCTGGGTGTCTCACGCCATGTCAGTCTACCTGTCATTTACATATTCTTGTAAATGTTAAATGAAAGCGTTCTTGATGTGTGCGTGTTAGTAATTGAGAAAATCATGTCCGATAAAGGTTTTAAGTCTAGGCATATTTGTTTTCCAGTTTTTTCATCTTATTTCATGCTAAGGCCCTTGTGGAATGATGTGAGCTTTCCACAGTAGATTAATGGGGATTAATCTTGAATTTCATTCAACTGGGGTTACAACATTTTGCATAACTGACATGGTGTAAGCCCAGAGTACAGCATTTTTCCAGTAATAAATGATTCTGTTGAATATAACTTTGCCACTAACTTTAGCCAGAAAATAAATCCCCAAATCTGACAACCATGATATGAAGTATAAGTACCTTTGGTCTAAAATGTTGATTTTCATTACAAGTAGAAAGCAGGGTTTACCAGAAGTGTCTGTAGTTATAGTTACCAAATGTCATTGGTCATAGGGAAGGTATTTTTAGTAATAGCTTTTTCTTAAGTGCTGTGGGGTCAAAAGAAACATATCTGCTGAAGAATGTAATTTCTTAGATTAGATTTATTTACGTATTTTACATCATTGTTCATTTCTCTCCAATATTTGCTTTTCTCCTCTCAAGCATAGGCCCCATAAGATTCCTACTACCAGTTCGCCCCTGCACTGTCACTAACATGGCCCCTCATATGCCTCCCTCCCATTTTGATCCTCTTCCCCCTTCCTCTGCAAAATGCCTCTTGATTTATTGTTCCTTACTCATTTTGGTTTTTAATGTATTGTTCATTATTAGTTCTCTCTGATCTTAGTTGGTTCCCCTGTAGTCATCCCACAAGTGAAACCAGCTGATATTCGTAGAGTGTGATTTTCTATGATCATTTATGAACCTGATTTAAGATATAGCCACTTTGCCAGTTTAGTTCAATTTGCATGGCGTATAATTTCCAGTTAGACTTGACCTTGTAAAAGTTGGCTTTTACTGTAGCCAACTTTTACTGTTTTCTTCACCAGGTAATGGCGTGTACCTGGTATTTGCATTTTGGGGATTCAGTAGGCATTTATTAAATAAGTGTCAGATATCTGGTGTGATTGCCCCGCTAGAGAGATGCTCAGTGGAGAAAGGTGATAACAGAGTGTATGCGCAGAGGTCGGCGTGGGGAAAGTCCACAAGCCTCTTGGAGGCTTCTTGGAGACAGTGGTGAGCAGGGTCAGTCTCAGTTGACTGTCGGAAAGCTGTCGCATCTGTCAAGGGAAGTAGATCTGCAGAGCAGGGGAACGGCCTAGAGTTACTCTGCCATGGAGTAACTCAGAACCCTGGGCCAGTCAGTGAGCGGGACGTAGAGTAAGTACTAGAGACAAAGAGGAAGGTGAGGCTGGAGACATTGAATAGGAACTGCAAATTTAAGTGACTGTGGTTTGAAAATGGTATCAGAGGAGGACCCATTGATGGAGCAGGATTATAATTAGATGTGTTTTGTTTCTGGATATGGTTATGAAAATATTCATTTTATAAGTTATATATATTTTTCTCAGTGTTTAGATAGATTTAGAAGTAAACTGTACCTGTGAAACAACACGTTGTTGAACACAGAGGTCATAGTAATGGGATATATTTTGAGTTAAACATAGTAACCATAGGGTGTAGAAAACTTTGGTGACCTAGGTTTTTATTCAAATCATTGGCACCACTGGGGTGTGGAGCTGAGTCAGCAGCCTTGGTTTCAGCTGTAAACTTCGGGAACGTTAGTGCCAGGGCCTTTACTGTTACTCCAGTTCTGGAAGTGAGTTAGTTGTGTTTTCCCCTAAGAAACTGCATTCTAGGGGAGGTGGGATTTATTGACATAAAGTTGGGGGTAGCGATAACTGCCTCAAGTTCGTATCTGACAGCAGTGGGAGTGGCTTTAAGGAAAGATTGTAGTGTGTGTAGGAATTTACTTCCAGAAAAGTAAATCATCATTTTAATTTAATCTAAAGTGCTTTTTAGTTTAATCTGAAGCTCTTGAAAGTCATGTGAAACAAAAGTATAGGGAAATGTGTTATACAAATTAGAAAAAGCTCCGTGTAAGAGATTTATTTACTGTAAAAAATATCTGTGTAAGGGTAATTACTTCAAGTATCTTGTCTTAGGCTTAAAACCTGAATTTCATTTTTTTCAGGCGAACAACATGGGCGTGGGAGTAGTCGGAATTATAGAGTGTAATTTCCTAGACCCGACTCACAATAAACAGGATTTCGACTACACTAATGAGTACAGGTAAATTACCTGTTTAAATTGCTTCCTTTTTCCAGTATTTTAATACTTTTCTAACTTTTTTTTCTAAGCTGAATGAATAGAAGATAGGTTAGAGGCTTGTAAAAAAAAAAATCACAGCTATTTTCCACCTTCATTCCGTAATATATGCTCATTGGGACAACTGTCCCTCACAAATAGAATGTAATGTCTCCTGTCTTTACCAGTGGGGTCTTCCTAAGGTTCTTCAAGACACAGCTTGTTCCTGCTTTTTTGGTATAATATTTTTGGTATAATCATAAAATCCTGACACTCTGTTCTTAGGTATGAACTTCAAGATAATTTAATTCTATGTGCCTTACACAGAAATACTCGATTATCCTTTTAAAAGATTTATTTTGTTTATTTATGCATGTAAGAGCTGAGATGTAGGTCAGAAGTGCGGGGGATAAGAGCACTTCCCAGAGACAGAGTAGGGAGCAGGACAGGCAGATTGACTGAAGTACACTGCTGAGGGGAGCAGCAGGGAGACTGGAGAGGTCTGTTGCGCCTATAGGCCTGCTCTCTGACTGGGAATCGAACTCGTGGCAAAGTGGTTGGTGATAACTTGATAGTGCTGACACTTTAATCCCTGTGCCACCAGGGAGGCCCTGAAATACTTCTCTTTAGGAGCAGATAGAAGCCCTAGAATAAACATGAACATTAATTTTACCTGTAATTAGGAAGCATAAACAACTGTCCTAGTGAACATATTGTATGAAATAGAAGGCCAGTGTTGTATAAATATTTGTGATAATGGGCCTCCCTGGTGGCACAAGGGGTTAAAAGGTAGCACTGTGAAGCAATCCGCAGCCATTGCAGCATGTCAGGAGTTTGATCCCCGGCAGGGAGTGACCCTTATGGTTCAGCAGACCTCTTCTGTCCCCCTGCTGCTCCCCTCAGCAGAGTATTTCAGTAGATCTGCTTGTTCTGCTCCCCACTCTGTCACTGGTGAATCCTCTCACCCTCACATCTCTAGCCTGTATCCCAGCTCATGTATGCGTGAATAAATAAATCTTAAAAAAAATTATTTGTGATAACAAAGATAAACGCCTTAAATTCCCTCTTCAAAAAAATAGAAAGTATAATGAGTACTGTAAGAGCAAAATCAGAGAAGTAGGAAACATACACAACAGAGAAAATCAGTATATCAGGCTAGTTACTTAAACTAGCTTACTTTAAAAAAAATCTATTTTATTTATTTATGCATATAAGAGCTAGTGTGTAAGCTAAAGGTGGGGGGTAGGAAGGGCTGATAGGACTCAACAGACATAGAATAGGGAACAGAACAGGTGGATCCACTGAAATGCACTGCTGAGGGAAACACTGGGGAGACAGGAGAGTTCTGCTGCGCCCTGTGGGTCACTCCCTGGCGTGCTACAGTGGCTGCAAGCAGCTTCGAATACTGAGACTTAACCCCTTGTACCACCGGGGAGGGCTGCTAAAGAGGTAATTTAAATAAAAGGAGAGGTTAACTAGATTTCTAGAAGGTGATTTCTGCAAAGGGTAAAATGAGAGTGAATATCCAGAATGAGCATATACAAATTGAAAAAGAATAGACAATAAAATATCTAGGAGAGGGCTCCCCCACTCCATTTCTGTAACTGGAGTTTGCGATCTCTGTATGGGGCATGACAAACACAGAAACTAGCTACCTGCCTTGGAGAAGCCTGCCCAGGGCTGGTGTGTGGGTGGGGCCTGTCGCTAGCAGGTAGGGCCTCCTGTAGTGGAGGCTTGTCTTTGCCCGGGCCTGTGGCCACTCTGAGACTGTCTGTTGCTGGCTCTCTGAGGGCAGAAGATGTGCTGAGCTCCGCTGAGCGCCGCGGGGAGGCTGCTGGGTTCCAGCCAGAGATTAACAACGGAGCCCTGGTCCCTGCAGGAGGACTGTCCTACTGCTCTCACCTTTTGGTTGTTGTGCCAGTAACCTACTTTCAATTCCTCACACTGGCCGGGGATAAATAATTACAGGCTCGGGCTTTCACAAAATTGAGCAAAGAATATTGAGTGGGTGCTGAGAGATGACAAATTAATGACTGACTCAGTCAGGTGACCCAAAGTGTGTTCACTGATGAAATTTAGATAATAGGGCCTATAAGTATCTGGCAGGACTGAGGGGACAAAGAAGAAAATGGAAAACGACAAGCAGCAGAGAGGCGAGGCGGGGTTCCTGCAGTCTGCGAGCAGGGCGCCAAGGGATAGCACGAACCATGTCTCACCCTTTTAGCTGGTGCGCACGCGTCCCTTTGAAGGCGAATCACTTGCAGAGCAGTTTCCACATTTTGAATTTGAACGTGTAAGGAAGAACTGGCACCATTCTTAAACAACCCCTTTAAAAAAGGTTTTATGAGGCTGCATAGTTTTGGCAGTGAAATCCTGAATATCTTATAAGAATGAAAATTTATGTCAATCTTTTTTTTATATGTCAATCTTTTCATCGTGATACAAAAATCTAACTAAAATAACTGCAAGTACCATCCAGTCACATGAAAAAAGGGTAACACTTTGTTAAAACGAAGTGGCTGATATTCTGAGATGGCTTTAATATTAAAAAGATCAGTGTCAGCCCTCCCTGGTGGCGTGAAGGGTTAGAGGGGCAGCCACTGCGACAGGAGTTCACTCCCCAGCGGGGTGCTGACCTGTAGGGCCTGGCAGACCATTCTTGTCCTGCCCGCTGCTCCCCTCAGCAGTGTATCTCAGTGGATCCACCTGTTCTGCTTCCCATTCTGTCTCTGGTGAATCCCCTCACCCCTGCACCTCCAGCCTGTACCCCAGCTCTTGTATGCAAATAAATCTTTTAAAAAAGATGAGTGTAATTCATCACAATGATTTTAGAATTTTTTTTTTAAAGATTATTTATGTATGCACAAGAGTTGAGGTACAGGCCGGAGATGCGGGGATGAGGTGAGCAGACTCATCCGAGACAGAGTGGGGAGCAGAACAGGCAATTGCCTGAAAGACACTGCTGAGGGAGCAGCGGGCAGGACAGGAGAGGTCGGCTGTGCCCTGTGGTCACTCCCTGGCCGGGGATTAAACTCCCACCACAGTGGTTTCACCGGTTTTGTAGTGCTGCGCTTTAATTGGTTGAACCTCTAGGGAGGGTCCCGATGCTTTTAGAAATTTTGTGGTTATTTTCATATGATCAGAGCACTTGGTATGTAGTAACATCCATTTGTGAGTCAAGAGAAAAGGAACACGTACAAAAGGGACATACTGGAGGTAGAGTATTTGCAGGAACAGCAGCTGCCATTCCCTTGCTGGTGAGTTATTTAAAGTTTCATGTGAAGATGAGACAGGATCAGCTGTTCACTATTTGTCTTGAGGAAATAACCAGGATAATAGGCAAGAAAAAAGAAATGAAAATTGCAGGGTCTCCTGGTGGCACAGGGGTCAAAGTCTCAGCTCTGTCAGGCTATTTCTGGTGTTGGTGGCTTACTCTTATAAACCAGAAATTTCAGTTCTAATTTGAATTGAAGCTTGGAGTTGGAATTTGAGTCTGGTTCGTCCAGAAGTTGGTTTGCACACTTTCTCAGCAAAGGGCCTGAGGTAGGACGGTGCTTCGTGGCTTACTCGGAGCTCAGCCTGTCCCTGCCGCCAAGCCTTCCCGAGCGCTGTCCCTTTGAGTCTGCTTTATCGGCCGACTTGGGCCACTGAGACCCTGCTCCACAGTTGTCCGGTTCCGCCTGCACCCAGTGTCTTGAGACCTGCACCGGGTGGTAATGCTGTTTTCTTTGTCCCACAGGTTTAACTTTGATCTTTTTTTTTCTTGAATTGATTTTATAATTACTTGTTTAAGGCTTACAATAGCAGCACTAGGAGAAAAGCTGAATGATTACTGGAATGAAATGAAAGTGAAGAAAAATTCAGAATATCCTCTAAATCTGCCAGTTGAAGATATACAGTAAGTACATTTTAAAAAGGTACATCAACCCCTCCTGATACCAAGATGTGATAATAGAGTATGAAATGACTGTAAAGGTATTTCCAAGCTTTTCACTAACACATAGTAAGAAATAAATTCTGCAGTTTGAATCAACACCTTGTAAAATGATTTTGTGTGTGTGTGTACAAAAGGATTCATGAAAATATTTACATACCTATCTGTTGAATCATTTCTTCTTCTTTTAAACATCATTCTTCATTTTGTACATTTTTACATCTCAGCTACAGTTGACTCATTTGTTTCATTAAAAAAAATGCTAGTCATGCCCTTCCCTGATGGTGTAAGGGGTCAAGGCTCAGCACTATCAAGCTCTCACCAGCCACTGCAGCATGAATTGGATCCCCAGTCAGGGAGCTAAGTCACATGGTGAATCCTACCTCACCTGCTGCTCCCCTCAGCAGTGTATTTCAGTAGATCTTCCTGTTCTGCACCCCACTGTCTCTGGGGAATCCTCTCACCACTCCCCTCACACCTGTGCCTACATACCCCAGCTCCTGCATGCATAAATAAATAAATCTTTAAAAAAAATGATAGTCTTAACCCATTAACTCGGTTTTACTATTCTCTAATAGGTGGTATTTCATTGTTTGAAGAACACTGGTCTTGTGTAATATAGAGCCAGACTTGCAATCAGATTTTAGTTCCAGTTAAGTAGCTTTGTAACATTGAGCGTGCAACTTGCCTCCTTTACTCTCTCCCTCCTTCCCTCCCTAATGCCCCACTCCTCTCTCTCTCCTTCCCACTTCCTCCCTCTCTTACATGCACATAATTTTGAACTTAAAATTTAATGGCGTAACATTGCATGTTACACGTCTCAGGTGTGCATCATTTCAGACTCAGTATGTACTATATTAAGTTCACTTCCAAAGCTAGCCTTTTAAAGTTTTCCATTTTGCTAGCCTTTTATAGCCTTCCTTTTTTTTTAATCATATAATAGTTTGTTTTTACACCATTTTGTGCCTTTTTTCAGCTCAGTTGTAATCCCCATGGGCTTCCCATCACCGCATCAGCCATGTGCCATCACCATAGTCCAGTTCATTTCCCTCCCCCACTGGCTTTGATCCCATCTTCCATTTTTGTGTGTGTAAAATAGGAACATTTATAAAAATTTATAGTTAGAAGAATTAAATGATGCCTGACAAGCACTCAGTAATATATTGCATATAGTAACAATGCTATGAATGAATAGTAACTATTGATAGAAAGGTATCCAGGATATAGCATTAAAAATTAAAAAAGATGCATGTCAATGTATGAATTTCACATTATATATATTTTTTAAAGATTTATTTACTTATGCATACAGAACTGGGATACAGGCCAGAGGTGCAGGGAGTGGTGAGAGGATTCACCAGAGACAGAGTGGGGAGCAGAACAGGCAGATTGATGAAGCACACTGCTGAGGGGGCAGCAAGGAGGTCGTAGGCGTCTGCTGCGCCCTGTGGCTCAGGGGATCAAACGTGTGCTGCAGTGGCTGCAGAGAGCTTCATGGTGCTGTGCTCTAACCAGTCGCGCCACCAGGGAGGGCCTCATTGCATTTTTTATAGTAGGCCAGAGGGCTTATTTTTTCCACCCCTGTTGCCATGACTTTAGTGGGGTGGTTCTAGCAGCTCAGGCTCTTTCCTTGGGTTCTCACAGAGGGTTCTCTGGCAGGAGCAGCAGGGTGGCGCTTCAGTGGGACCCAGATTCTTTGCTTTGACTTCTGTGGTTTTTTGTTTGTTTGTTTGTTTGTTTTTTTATCATTTTCTTCCATACGTTTCAGGAAGTGATCCCAGCTCTTAAAGTGCTTCATGCATTGAGCATGAACAATTCTCTTGGCAAGAATCTTGCCTTTCGCTCATTTACAGCAATGCCAACTGCATGCTGGGTAGCACTATAGATGCTTCCATGTTGCCATGGTAACATTTGTGGGCCTTTGTGAACTGTGCACACCCCCTTGACAGTACTACCTTTCTTTTGGATTCTCATGGATGTGGGCCAGGCCGGAGCTCCACTTTCTCAGGAAGGCCTGGACATGTAGGGCGGCGCCGCTGCCCTCGCTTGGTGTGACCCCTCACGATGCCGGTGGCGCGCCTTTCCTTGAAGTATGCGTGTACACAAACAGGTGTCCATGGTTGAGGAAATATTGCCAGGAGGACTTTTACGTATACAGTGATAATGGAAGACATGAATATATATTTATTTTGTAAATTTCTGAATTGTTTGAAATTTAACATACTTTTAAAAACAAGATAGAAAAAGTTAGTGACAAAGTAAAGTCTTAAGAAAATAAGTACATGAATTGTCTATAGGGTCATAGTAAGTGTCAGATGGCAAGGAGATAATGGCATTTTATAGACCAAATCCATACAAAGTTTAGTTACTTAGAGATAATAGAGGGTAAAAATCAATACAACGAAAAGAAATTGGTTTAATTACAGTACTACAACTCATCTGTTTTATAATTGAGTGGCTTTTTACTGTGCTAAAAAATACTAGATTTGACAGTGTATATGCTAACTTAATAGAAGTTGCAGAGCAAGGCTCTTACGAGTGTCAGTTTTCATTATCAGAACAAATTTAATGGCATACTGCTTATTAAGCAAGGCACTTAAAATTCCTTGTTTTAAATGGGTCGATCACTATTAACCTTTGAACTTTAAATCAAAGAGTTGTTAAATTGTACAACGAATGTTTTCAGGGATGGAATTAAATAGTAGGAAGCATTTTGTGGTACAAGTGATAGTAAAAAATGTGATGAAATGCTTCACATCCAACTTCCATGTTAATGCTTTATTTTGTTGCCAGGAAACGTCCTGATCAGACATGGGTTCAGTGTGATTCCTGTCTAAAGTGGCGAAAACTACCAGACGGGATAGATCAGCTTCCAGAAAAATGGTACTGCTTCAATAACCCTGACCCACAGTTCAGGTACCATCTAGTTGGTAGTGCCCTTTTTGGAAAGGCAGAACATACTGCTCGAGATGTGTGGATCGTGCTGTGACATTTGTTTCCATGTGATTTTTTGGCTAGAAATTGTGATGTTCCGGAAGAACCTGAAGATGAAGATTTGGTGCATCCCACTTACGAGAAAACCTACAAGAAGAAGTGAGTGTCCCCGTAGGTTGTGGTGGGGAAGCAGGGCCCAGACTGAACAGAGAACAGGGTGGGTGGTCAAGACGCGCGCTTCTCCCAGTCACAGCTGTAGGAAGATTGTGACCCAGACAAGAGTTATGGTCTGGAACACATAACATCACGTTTTATTTTGAAAGTCTCTGTGTGGGTGCCTGCTGCTTCTTCTCTTGATGCTTAGTGCTCTCCTAGCTATAAGACTCTGCCTAGTGAGTAATTTGTCTTTTTTGACGACACACAGATGCGTCCATGAACTTGTAGTCTACGACTTGTGTCTGTTACCAGTTAGAAATTCATGTGCAGCACCAAGGGCCTAGTCCAGAAGGCCTATGCGGAGAGGTTACTTTGCGTGGAGTTGGGGGTGGGGGCGCTGAAATGGAAAACTCATGAGGAACATTTTTGTTACAGCCTTCTTTGAAAGATGTGTAGGATGGAAATATACAGGGAGGATTTGTTGAGCTTGACTAAATAAATATGCAAAAGGGCATAATGGAAAACGGAGACGGGATAAATAAGATGTGTAATGAGGGCCTTCCTGGTGGAGTGAAGGGTTAAAGTACCGTGCTGCACCCTCTGCAGCACAAGTTGGTTTCTAGCCAGGGAGTGACCCATGGCGCGCAGCAGAGACTCCTCCTGTCTCCCCGCTGCTCCCCTCAGCAGTGTGTTTTCAGTGGATCTGCCTGTTCTGTTCCCCTCTCTGTCTCTGGGGAGGCCTCTCACTGCTCCTTTTCCAACCTCTGGCCTGTCCCCCAGTTCTTGTAAGCATAAACAAATACATCTGTAGTCGAAAACAATGTGTAATTACAGTCAACCATGGAGAAGTTGAGGTTCATTACTGCACACAGAAGGCTGATTCATGGAGACTCTTTGAGGTGGTATTGATCTGTAGCGCATGGTTTGTGAAAATAAATCCAGCAGCAGGACTGTAAGGAAACAAGTTAGAAATCTATTTGATACCCAGTTCAAAGTTCTGAGAATAGTGCCCGTGAGGATGGGAAGTCTCAGGCAGACGTTGGCACTAATTTCCTGAGATGAAAGTGGAGCGTAATCCTCAGGGCTTACTGCTGCTGAGTACAGTGGAGGCCAATGTGCCGAGCGGTGAGTGGCAGGTGTGTCGTGGGGAAGCAGGATTGGAAAGGAATATGAAGCAAACATAAGTACGCTCATTTTTCATCTTTTTTTTTTTTTTTTATTCTTTAAAGAGACAAGGAAAAATTAAGGACCAGACACCAGGAAATCAGCCCACGGGTAACTAAGCCTTTCATTTTCTAGCCATGTATTTTACAGCAAGTTCTCACTTAACATCTTCTATGGGCTCTTGGCAATTGCAACTTTATGCAGATGATGTCTAACAAAAGTAGGTCCTTTCTAGTAACGTGAACTGGGATTTTTTTTTTTCTCTCACCAGTGTTTTAACTAAAGACTGTGAGTGGAATCTCATTCAAGCACCTGCTGTGCTGGGTAGTGGTTCATTTAGCCACTTAGCAACTGCAAGTTCAAGCTTAGGAGTTGCTGTCACGAAGTGATCTTGCTCACTGAGTTTGCAGTCCCTCCCGTGCCCTCCTCCCAGCTCTGACTTCTGACCCTGCTCGCTTGGACACTCCGTCTCTTTGATTTTACCCTTTAATGTAGTTGGAGATTTTCTGAGGAAAGGCAGCTATTCTTTTAAGAATCTCACAGGCAAGGGCCTCCCTAGTGGCACAGGGATTAAAGTCTCAGTGCTATCAAGCTACCACCAGCTACTCCCTGCCAGGGAGTGACCCACAGAGCACAGCAGGCCCCTCCTGCTCCCCGATGCTCCCCTCAACAGTGGATTTTAATAGATCCACCTGTTCTGCTCTCTATTCTGTCTCTGGTGAATCTCCCCCCGACCCCCGGCATCTCAGAACTAGACCCCAGTTCTTATATGCATAAATAAATGAAAAATAAAATCTTTTAAAAAAAGTAAACCTAGTCTTTGCTTACTTGTAGGCTGAATGTGGCTCACCAGCCTGTTCGTCGCTCCCTGGTACAGCATAGGGATGCTTGAATTGATAGCACAGTGTGTCTGGGGTGCGGGGAGAAAAATACCTTGAGCTTTGGCATGTCACACTGCAGTTACTGCACTAGATCGGGCTTTTTATCCTCCATCAGATTAATGCTGACCAGTTTCGAACAACCCCCGTGTCGAGTCAAAGCTTTTCGCCTGTGAAGGAAAGTGTTCCAAGAGGACACCCTTCGGAAACAGCAAGTACTTACACAACGAGGCTTATAAATAATCGAGTTTCCTCCCAGTCTGAACCTGAGAGCAACAGGTCAGTGACTAAAATTTGTTTTTCCATGTGGGGGATGAGTAGCAAACAGCTTCTAGTTGACACTTGTGTGTCAGTAATGCAGTTCTAGAAAGTGGTTTACATATTGAAGTCCTAAGTACAAGTTTTTTTGCTTTTATTGTCTAAATTGCACCTTCCATTTATACTCCTCAAATAAATGTTTAAATTATTAACTGTATTCATTGTGGCATTTAATCAGGTTATCACTTTGAAATTCTGCATAGTATGAAAATCACTGTTAGGAGGATTGAAACTCAGAGATAAACAAGAAGCAAATAACTATAGAGATGTGAAAAGTTGGACCTCTAAGTTCTTAGCTTCACCTGTGGTTCCGCTGTGTGTCCTCCACTGGACGCATGAAGAAGGAAGGGGTCTGAGTGACCCGTGAATTGACTGGCTAGCCCTCTTGACAGGACGGGCAGGGAAGGCTTTGTGATGAGTTGGTTCCTGAAGTTCTGAGCGCACTAGCGGCCTGTGCCAGGGTGCTGCAAGGGCACCGGCCGTCCTAAACGACAGCGGCCCGGCTGGCTCTGTCTGATGTTTGTTATTGAAGGAAACATTGAAAGAAGCTTCTTGGGAGTAGTGGGCTGGATTGCTGAAAGGCTTTGTAGCCTTCATCAAAATCTTACGGGAACTTTTGGCCTCAGCAAAGATTAGAAATAACTGCCTTTACATGTACATATATTCAAGGAGGGAATATTCCTAAGTACTTTGCTGTTTATAGCATTAATTTTGGGGACTTGTTTTGGGCTGGTTTGCTATCTAATTAAGAACTTGTATAATTTTCTTTTTAAGCAAGTTTTACCATTTTTTGGGTTTTCTTTATAAAGATAGCAGTAGACAAAGTTTTAAAAAAGTAAAATCTATGTTTAAGACAAACAGTAATGGATTTTTTTTTAAGCACCTAACATCAAATGGAAGGAGAGTATAAGGAATATTTCACTAAAATTTTGAAGTATTTATTCACAAATTCTTCATGCCAGAGTCTGGAATAGTGGTGTCTAAACTCAGTCTTGAGGAAGACAAGTGGGAACCAGCCTGGTAGGGAAACTTTACAGGGGGCTGCCAGTGAAATGACGACCTCCCCAAGTTCCCAGTCTCAGAACTTGGAAGCATTTGTTGCTTCTGAAATTTGGTGGAAATTATGGGTGAGAACAAGAGCTAGGCTGGAAAACTTAAGGAAGAAGAGTGTTGGGCAGACCAGGCAGGTTGACTTGGGAGAGCAGAAAAGGGACCTTGGAGCTTGGGTGTGTCTGACAGACCTTTAGCGCTGAAGCATAGAGCTGGGACGCATGCACCCCAGTGTGGAGGCAGGCACGTGCCGCAGCGAGCCCTCAGCCAGCCCCTCTGCCTCTTGGCCAGCATCTGCGCTTCCGCTCTCCAGCGTCTCGGTCTGCGTGTCCATGACCACAGGAGCATGTGTCCCTGCGCACACTCCCAAGCACTTCTTACAACAGCCCCTGTCACGCGTGGGTGATAAAGCCCATGGAAACAAAGCCACGGTGGCTATTGTAAAGGCTAGTGGGAGAGGCGAAAAGAGACTAATGTAACCCATTTTCCATACAAAGAATAATTCTCCAGACCTTTTCCCAACCTGCAACATCTCTTCCTTTGCCGGAAGGTAGGAAATTTCCTTCCTGGAGCAGATTTTACTGTTGAAGATGTGTGTGGTTTGTTTTGGAAACTATAGCGAAGGGAAAGTTTGAGTCAGAATGGTGAGGTGTCCCTCCTTTCTTCACCGAGCTCCTTCAGAAAAGCCTAGGTGGTGCTGAGCATTTGGGCCCCTGGAGTCATAAGCCTGGTCCTCGCTGTCTAGCCAGATTACTCTGGTAGGCACGGAGTGCCAGAGGCAATCCATGGAACAGACCGAAGCAAAGGAGCTAGAAGAAACCATGTGAGAGATATCGGGAAGTGGGTAGTTGTCAAACAGATCAAAAGTTGGAACGTAGAAGAACTAGAAGGACAAAGCACGGGCCAGCAGCTGCGCAAGGGGCTTCAGAGGAGGGCGTGGGGACTGCGAAGGGGGCACTTCACAAAGGCTTGATTTCCAGTAACTGTCGAGTGTGTTGTCTAGAAAAGGGTCCATTTTGAGAATGCTGGGGAAGGCAGATTTTTTCAGAAAGGAAACTCACAGATTGCTTTCAAAAACATCTGAGTCAGAGTGGCCAAAAGCTGGTAGAAGACAGTGGATTCAGGTCATGTTTTGAGAAACTAATTTCCTACCTGAAAATCTCCATTAAAAATCAGGCCAGGCCTGCACTCGTGAGAGGTGAGTATGGATTTTCTTTAAGCAGCATCTTAGAATTTTGTCTTGTGTATCCTTTCTCAAGAATCTATTGGAGATTGTCCCCCTTTAGTATGTGGCTGCGAAAGCCTAAGAATGAGGAAAGTTGTCCTTGAGCCTCAGGAATACAGGGACCATGGTAGGCGCCAGTAGCAAACTAGTGCCAGCGTCTGCCGGGTGGGGCAGACGGGCGCCAGTTGGCGTGATAAGTTGTTGGAGAATTAAGCACAAGATGAAAATGAAGCAATTTTTTAAACAGGGAAATGTAGAGAATGTTGGTTTATTTTGTGGCTAACTAGAAGTCAGTGGAAATTATGTTGGACAAGCGGAATGAGCTCTAGAATACAAAGATCCGACACGGTGGGCAGGGTCTTCTCTTCAGGACGTGGCCACACTGAAATGTGGAGGCTAGCTAGTGGAGACCCACCTGGCAGTGTAGACATTGGCTGTTGAAAGAGATCTCAGTGGTCGAATTGTTTCTGTATGTGTAAAAGGAAAAGATAACCTGTACGTCATGTGTACATACACACACACACAGGCTTCACAGGTAACATTGTAGCACAGCATATCATTTATGAAGAAAGCAAAATTTCTTTGAATTCCAAGATAGGTCACTTCAGATTGACTGTTTTGGCCACAGCTTACAGTCGCGTATTTTATATGTAAACTGTTTTCTAGCCTAAAACGGAGACTTCCTATTCGTTCCTCAATTTTGAATGCAAAGAATCGGAGATTGAGTAATCAAGCATTTGAAAATTCAACATATAAAGAAGATGATGATGATGATGAAGACGTCATCATCTTAGAAGAAAACAGTACTCCGAAGCCTGCGGGCGAGCACGATGTTGAGGTGAAAGCGGAGCAGGGCCACGTGGAGCAGGGCGGCACTGTGGTCGGGCCGTGCAGTGGCGACGAACCTCGGAGCCAGACAAGCGTGGCGGGCGCCTCAGCCTCCAGGTGTGACCAGGGGATGTCTGCAGCCACCCAGACAGAAGCACCAAGTTTAGTTGTTAAAAAGGAAGAGACTATTGAAGATGAGATAGACGCGAGGAATCATGTGTCTGTCCTGCCAGCCTGTGGAGAGGCTGAGGTGAAGACACTCGAGACCCAGGAAACCTTTGATAAATCTGTGGGTGATTGCCAGTTAAATGACCTGAGGAGTGAGCTCCTTGTAGTTACCCAAGAAAAAGAGAATTATAAAAGACAGTGCCATGTGTTTACTGACCAGATCAAAGTGTTACAGCAGAGACTCGCGGACATGAACGACAAATGCGTGAAGAAGGAAACTTGCCATCAGTCTACTGAAACCGATGCCGTGTTTTCACTGGAAAGTATTAATGGCAAGTCTGAAAGTGCAGACCAGGTGCTGTTGCAGTATCAGCAAGCTTTGGAAGAAATCGAGAAGCTGAAAAAGCAATGCAGTGCTTTGCAGCACGTGAAGGCTGAATGCAGTCAGTGTTCCAGCAGCGAGAGTAAGAGTGAGATGGACGAGATGGTCGTGCAGCTGGATGACGTGTTTAGACAGCTGGACAAATGCACTGTTGAGCGGGACCAGTATAAACATGAGGTGAGTGCTGTTCTCACATGGCCACATCAGTCTGGGGCATTTCCACAGACTCGAAGAGTTGCCTAATGCTTTTCCTCACCATTAGTCCACTGCTTCTCAAAGGGGCAGTGGTCCTCCCGGGAGCATATAGAACTGAAGGGCACCTACACACAGTTTTTGGTTGTTAGAAGATGGGTGTGATGGGAATTTGATGGGCAGTGACCAGGTTTGGTGAATGTCCTGCACCACACAGGGCATTGCCATACAAGGAAGGGGTGTCCAGCTCACAGGACAGTCCTGGTGAGACACTCAGTCACTCACACTGGTGGAGACATGACACCCGCTAGCGAGTGCTGGCCAGGCAGACCTTGTTGACACTGGTTTTATGTGCAGGCAACATAAAACAAATGCCCAAGTAATGTGGCAGCTCCAGCCTTCAGAGATGCGGGCTCCGTCATAGTTGCTTTGCTTCTCACTGTGCAGTGTGTCCCGAGATGGCTCTTCAGGCCCAGACGGCGCTGGTCTACATTCCGGACAGCAGGAGAGGGAGGGTGCAGTTTCTGAAAGTTCCTTACGTTCATCTGCAAGAAAGGAGTCCCTTGGCTCACAGGTGCCTGGGGACCGCGGTCCTCATTCAGGGGTCCTTTGATGCGGGGGCAGGAGGCGGAGCTCCACAGATGGCATGTCCACATGCCCCCACTTCAGATTTGGGGAGGTCCTTTTTTAAAAAATGCTCTATTCATGTGGTACTGGAAGAGAGCTGCCCTGCTAAAGAGTGTGGAAATCACAGTAAGGCCGCTTGGCATTTTGTTGCTGTCACTGCTTTATTCAGGCCTGGACCATGATGCGGCAGCTCAGGGACTAGAAGGTCAAATACGAGTTCGTGTAAGGGGGGAGCCACTGGGATGTCGCCGTAACTGAGGCTGGGTTTTCAGTTTTAGGTCCCATTGGTTTTATTCGAGTGGCAATTAACATTTTATATTCCTCAGTGTCAACGATGTAAAGGCAGAACTCCAAGCGCAGTTTGATTTATGTTGTCTGTCAGGGGTTTCTGTGGTTTGGTTGCGTTTGTGTCTTAGCGGTTGGCAGTTTCAGTCACATGTATTGTTTAGATTTGCACTTTGAGATTAGTATTTCTTAGTTCTGTTATAAAATTATTTTTTTTTGTAGGTTGAGTTATTGGAGATGGAAAAATCACAAATCCGTTCAAAGTGTGAGGAACTGAAAACTGAAATCGAACAATTGAAATCGACAAGTCAGCAGTTAGGACCAGATGTCTCAACTTCAAGCACCGTGGAGGAGTCTGTAAACTTTGCTGACGGGGAGAGGTAACATCACTAGGGCATTTCGCGGGGGCTGAGTTGTGGCTCCTGCGGCGCTTACTGGCAGGCACACGCGGTGGCTGCTGTTTGTGGGCCCTGGTGTGGCGGCGGACAGTACCGCGCGGCTCTGCTCCCTCGGGCAGTGGTTCAGGTTCAGCTTTAAGCGAAACAGGAATTTGGGGGAGCAGAACTCCAGGGTGGTCACGGTGGTTGGGAATACTTCTGGGGAAACGTGAAATCGAGCTTGATACTAAAGAATGGGGGTGAATTTGGCCATGACCTGAAGACAGGAAGCTACCACATGAAACCAGCCTTTGCCTCTTGATTCCTTTCTGTTATGCGCCCAGGCTTACCTTCCTTTAGGAAGTCACAAGTCAGTGAAGATTACCAAGGTGTAGGTGACTCTTGAGAAGTTTTTCTGGGAAAATCAGCAAACTTAATGATTCCCTATCAGTGAGATATAAAGTGGGTTTGGGGCTTCATTTAACTTTTGCTTTGGCTAGTGGGAGAGTGAATGACATTGTTGACGTGCTGATGACTTACATTCACAAATAGCCATTAAGAGCCAGTGCTTATAACCCCCCCTGCCAGTAGGGGCAAGTAGAGGCCCAGAGGGTACCGTCGTTGAGAAATGCCCGGCTGCCCTCAGTAGCCGTTGTTTTTCAGCTTCAGTTTTTAAAACATTCCATTAAATCTGTTCTGAAAATAGAAAGAATCGAGAGTACATTTAAACTTTGGTGTGCAGGAGGTCAGGAAGTTCTGCCTGGTGTTTGGAATATGAGACCAGAAGCTTCTCTCTTGCTTATAGGACTATAGGCTCCTGGCCCCAACACAATTTATTAAAACTTGGGAATGTGTCTGCGATGATTCTCATGCACACTGATGAAATGGTCTTTCAGATAGTGCTTGTTGAAGTAGAAACCACTAGCCACATGTAGCAGCTGGCTGTTCTGAATGAGATATGCTTTACGTGTAAAATACATGCTGGATTTTGAAGCACCAGCATGAAAAGTCAGACTGAAATAACTAATTAATGATGTATCTGGGGCCTCCCCGGCGACACAAGGGATTAAAGTCAGCACTGTCAAGGTATCGCAGCCCCTGCAGCCTGAGTTTGGCTCCCGGCCAGGGAGGGACCCCCAGGGCGCAGCAGACCTCTTCTGTCTCCCCGCTGCCCCCCTCCACAGTGGATTTCTGTCCATCTGCCTGTTCTGCTCCCCGCTCTGTCTCTGGGGAGTCGTCTCACCCCCATACTGTTGGTCTATACCCCAGCTCTTGTGTGCATATGTAAATAGAAGTAAATACTAAAAAAATAATATATTTTGACTAATGATGGTACTGTAGCACCATGCACTAAATAAAATAAATTGCTAAAAGTTAAATTCATTACTTCCTTTTACTTTTTGATGTGGCTATTTGAATATTTTAAATGTGTATGGAACTAAGATATTTCTTGGACAGCGTTGTTCTAAAATAGGAGCCTGATATGTCCATTGGGCAGGCAGGAATTAGCCAGGGCTAGTCAGAAAGCTTGAAGGATGGGGAAGAGGGTGTCAAGTCATACTGGTCATTTGTCTACTTTACCTGGTCAACAAATGGCCACACGGAGATGATGTGAGGCGTTACCAAAGGTGTGATGGCATCTTGACGCTCTCAATACTAGCGTGCTTGCAGTCACCTTTTCTGCACTGTCCACTCAGGGATGGACGTCCTCATCCCTGCAGAGTGTACACCTTAGCATGGTCAGCATCTAAATTACTGGATGGGGACCAGAACAAGAGTGACTATAACATTCTTCTGTGCGCTTCCGTGGTCTTTTTTTTTATTATTATTAAAGATTTATTTTACGTATTTATTTATGGGCCTCCCTACTGGTGCAAGGGGTTGTCTCAGCACTATGAAGCTGTCCGCAGCCACTGCAGCCTGAGTTCAACCCCCCTGGCCAGGGAGCTGATCCATAGGGCGCAGCAGACGTCTCCTGTCTCCCCTCTGCTCCCCTCAGCAATGTGTTTCAGTAGATCTGCCTGTCTGCTCCCCACTCTGTCTGTGTTGAGCCCTTTCAACCCCTACACCTCTGGCCTGTACCCCAGCTCTTATTTGCGTAAATAAATCAATCATTAAAAAAATGATTTTGAGCCCTCCCAGTTGGTGCAGCAGGTTAAAACACTGCACTGCAAGTGAGCCAGCTGTTTCACTGTGAATTCAATCCCCGCCCCGGAGGTGACCCCAGGGCACAGCAGACCTCTCCTGTCTCCCTGCTCCTCCCCTCAGCAGTGTACTCTGTCCACCTGCCTGTTCTGCTCCCTGCTCTGTCTCTGGTGAATCCTCTCATTGCCCTTGAGCCTCTGACCTGCACTCCAGCTCTCTATGTATAAATAAATAAATCTTTAAATAAAATCCTGCCTGGGACTGCACTGGCTGCCAGTAGCTTGACAGCGTTGAGTCTTAACTCCTGCACCAGGGAGGTCCCAAGCTTTATAAATTTAAATACATACGCTTAAGCTTATGTCTGGTAGCTTATGTATTTTACCCATCTCCGTTTTCTTCAGTTTCAAGATTGTTACTTGGAAGCCATTCGTTTTTTTGACGTCGTTTCTGTATTAAATGGCTTATTAAATTATGTTCATTAGAGGAAGTTTTGCTATTCTTTCAGTCTGTATCTATATATTTTCACAGATTTTACCTACATTTTACTTAGAATTTAAATTTTACATGAATCACTGTATTATTATGCCAGTCTAATTAGTGGAATGTTTTTATTTGCAGCCTTAAACTTCGATCCCTTCGAGTTAACGTGGGACAGCTGCTGGCCATGATTGTACCTGACCTCGACCTTCAGCAAGTGAATTATGATGTTGATGTAGTTGATGAGATCTTGGGGCAGGTTGTTGAACAAATGAGTGAAATCAGTAGTACTTAAAGTCTGTCTGATGTGAGATAATAAAAATGTATTCACTCAGCCCTTTTGGTTGTACAACTTTCAGGATGTGCAGTGCTGCCTGGAGCCCGGCTGAGCGGGGAGCCCGGCCGCCGCTGCCGTCGCACCCTCGGGAAGAGCTGCGGTCTGGCTTCAGCAGCTGCACAGCTAACTCCCCGTTGCTCTCCCATGTAAATACTTGTAATTAATTCTGCACATATTTTTTTATTACCCCGGAGGACTTATGTTTTTCACCAAGAGCTTTTCAGGAGCCCTGACCTTTGTGCAATCTTTTCTGGTTCCCCAAAATGTATTTTTCTCAAACTTGAGGACTGTGCCATAAATACAAATGGAAACGTTACCTTTGATTTTCTTACTGAGAAGCTTAAACAGGATTTTTAAAATTATAATGACTCCTGATAAGTTGTAACTCAATTGAGCTTTAGTGTTTGTTTTCTATAAATCCTATCTCTGAAATATTTTATTCATAAAAATAAGGTATTATGGAATTGACCATTCATTTGCCGGGATTTTTCTTGTGCTGAGATTGCCAATCATGGTTAAACACAGAGTGTTTTTATAGAACAAAGAATGAATCTTTAGTATTAAAAAAGTATGAAAAATATTAAATGTCCCACACCTGCTTGGAGACACAGTTTGGCTGCTTAGTCAGCATGGCGTGGGCGCAGTGACCGCTGGAGATTTCCTTCTGTGAAGTTTCCTGTACAGCCTTGGTAGGATTACTGCAGGTAATGTGCACTGAGGAAGACAATCTTTCTCTAACAATAATGCATACTTTTTACTACAGTGCAGACCTGAGTGTTTTACATCCTGGAGGTGAGCCGCAAACTGCCCAGGGCTACAGTGTTACCTGCCATAAAAAGTATGCTTTATTGGCCATGTTGTGTGCAATTTAAAGAGATGGCTTTTATTAAGTATAACTATGTGTATATAATTAAGAATCGTATTTTCCATAACTAAAATGTTTATTATTTTTTCAAAGTTTTATCATTGCTATTTATTTTTACTTTTGTTTCTGAACATTCGGTACGTGTTCCTTTTGTATGTACGGTTAATTACATGTCTGTCATATGTTTAAAATTTTTACTGTACATTAACTTCTAGAGAAAGCAAATAAATGAAGATTGTTTTTATTTGCTTGATAAAGTAATTGAAAATATTTTTGGTATGAAGCTGGTTTTCTGTCAAAATTGTACCTGCCCAAATTTTAAAACATCTTGTAATAAAAATATATCTGTATGATGGCTAACTATTCAGATGTCACTTGCAAAAAAGCCTATTCAAATTATATCTGGAAACTAAAGTTAGGTTCATTAGACCTTCCAGCTAAGTTCATTTGGCTTTATGAATTAGCAGTCATAGAGCTATTTCTGACGTCATGCCATGGCAGTGCTGTAGAGCGAGGGCAGAGGGTCGTGCCCGGGCAGAGGCCAGCTAGCTGTCTGTGGGCTCTCACTGAGTGCAGGCTTGCAAGGCCACTCAGGTTCAGGAGACAACAAAAGTGGGGTTTATTTAACAAATGGGACCAGTTCCTAAGGCCACAAAAGGCCAGCTCACGCAACCTCAGATGGTGACCACAGTGTCCAGAAGTCCCAAACAGAAGCAGCTTGTGCACGATGGTGCTGTCCCATAAGCAAGACCGGATGCTCGTGGCTCACCGGCATGCAGGAAGCCAGGGGCCAACTGTCAGTGGGGCTGGAGCACTCACAGGTGTGCTTCCGGAGGCTGGTCTACACAGCCCAGACGCCGAGCCAGAGGGCAGCGAGGGCAGCAGCACCAGGACGCAGTGGTGGGTGATCAGAGGCAGTGGTCAGCTCTGTGAGCTGGTGGCCTACAACAAGCAACAGCTCAGATCTGTGAGACCTGGGCATGGCAGAGGAGGCAGGCCAGTTCTAGCTTTTACCCTTTTTCACGGGTCAGTTGCCGCACCTTCTTTCTGCAGAGGCCAGGAGCAGAATTTCTCAGCTGGCACCTGCCTGCCTGATGCCCTCTTTCAGGTTCCCCCAAGCTACAAGCCTGATTGGGCCAGTCTTAATCCTAAGTAACTGATTGGACCACTTAGCACCAATCAGCTCATTCTTGTTTTTAAATCTGAATAGCTAATGAGCTTGACTGGGACCTGATTGGTTCATTTAGCTTGCTCCTGCTTAATCCATGCTGTGATCCAGCTGTCAAATATAAAAGTAATCTTGGCCCTGCACAGATCCTACTGCCCCTGACCTCAGGGCGGGCTCACGGGCTAGTGAGCTGCTGAGCAGCCATGGCCGAAGGCACTGTGTGCCTGGCTTGGGTGGGGAGTGTCTTCGGGGGGAAGGGGGAAAGGCAGGGGTTGGTGGGGTTGGCTCACGGCAGTGTGCATGTTGGCCAGGACCTCCAGACCTCTACTACTTACAGTTCCAGGGGGCAGTTATGGGGAGCAGCAGTGCTGGAGCTCCCCCAGTGGGGCCTCTGGATGTCCTCTGGCTGCCTCTCTGGAGCTTGCTCTGGCACAGGACAGCCTTGCCACTATCGCCCCAATGGGGCTGCATGCTCTGGGGCATCATGGCAGGGGGACGTGTCTTCACTGCCACCAGGGTTGATAGCTTGAGCCCCATAGGGGTCACAGGTGGTGGTGGGTAAGAGATGACTGCCACCTGCTAAAACAGCGCGCTGCTAGAGCCAGGCCCTGAGGCTAGCAGCTTTAGCAAGTGGCGCTCAAGCCAGGGTAGGCAGGAGCAGCCACCAAGCCTGGCCCACTGAGTGGCCCGTGTAGACATCCTGCAGGCTGCCTCTGCAGGATGGCCTGGGTGCTGCCCAGGGGCAGGCCTCCCACCAGACTCACAAGGTGGGGGGGTGGGGTGTCTTGCGGAAATCCTGAGTCCTACCTTGAAATTCATACGGTGTCTCAGGGGCCCTGGATAATCAAAGCCATCTTGAGAGAGCAAAGTTGGAGGATACATTCTTTATTTCAAAACTTACTAGAAAGCGATAGTAATCAAAACTGTGGTAGAGTCATAAAGCCAGGCTTACAGACCAAAGAATAAACCCTCACAAGTATAGCCAAGCACTTTTTTTTTTTTTTTTTTAAGATTTTGTTTATTTGTTCATGCAGAACTGGGGTACAGGTCAGAGGCTCAGGGGCGGCCAGAGACTTCACCAGAGACAGAGTGGGGAGCAGAACAGGCAGATCGACGAAGTACACTGCTGAGGGGAGCAGCGGGCAGGTCAGGAGAGGTCTGCCGCGCCCTGTGGTCACCTCCGGGGCAGGCAGGGATCGAACTCATGCGGAAGCGGCTTTAGCTTCTCGGTGCTGCGCTTTAACCCGCTGCGCCACCAGGGAGGGCCAGCACTTTTTTTTTTTTAAAGATTTATTTATTTATGCACACAGAGCTGGGGTACAGACCAGCGGTGTAGGGGCGGTGAGAGGATTCACCAGAGACGGAGTGGGGAACAAAACAGGCCGACTGATGAGGTACACTGCTGAGGGGAGCAGCAGGCGGGTCAGGGCAGGTCTGTGCTATGTGGGTCACCGCCAGGGCTGGGACTGAACTCGTGCTGCAGTGGCTGCAGCCAGTTTCCTTAATGCTGTGCTTTATTTAACCCGTTGCACCACCAGGGAGGGCCCAACATAAGTAAATCTTTAAAAAGAAAAAAAAAAAGCTATTCCTCAATGACAAGTATGAGTGACTAGTGGGCTGCGTGAACAAGAATAAAGCATCTGAGACCACAGGTCACTGTGTCCAGTAAGTTCAAATTCGGATCCAAACAGAATGACTTGGCTCACGTGCCTCTAAGTTTCCTTCAGTCTCGAGTTTCCCTTCTGCTGTTTCCTTCCTTTCGTTTTCACATGTGAAAGTCCGGGGCAGCCTGGCTCATCACCGGACTGTCCACGGCCTTAACAGAGTCCAGCGTATCGCGGCGGTGTTCACGGAAGGAAACACAAGGCGGAGTGACGGATGCAAGAAACTCACTTCACTCATCCTCCCACCGCTGCTCGCGCCGGCAGGTAATTGGGCAACCTGCAGGCGCCAGTACGGACCCGGTCAGTCATAAACCACGCCCACC